ATACAAATGTTTTTATTGTTCAATGCTGGCTACAATGATTGCTTGGTTTAGTTTAAATGGAGTGGGGATCACCAAGGAAGGACGTATTAACAGATGTTCCAAACTTTCTTAACAAGTTATTTTCTCTCATGTCAGGCAGACAGCAAACACCAACGGCCAGTGTCAGAGCAATCTTATGCTACTCAAATAAACCCATTAATGCTTGCTGCAGTGGAAATGCTGGTCTTTTTAAGACCAGGTAGTTGTTGAGCAGGTTAATGTCCATGTGATCATGTTTCAAAATCTATTTCAATCTTGAGACCCTACTCTTTGTTGATCAATGTCTCATTCAACGATCTGCTCTTTCCATAGATTATCAGAAAAATAAACTCCATGCTGTGAGGATAAATGGTTTGCGTGGGCAAATGAGCCAACTGCTTAGCAACCTGCAGCTGTGATACAGACTTTACATCACTGTGTTCACAACTTGTAGTCCAGTGAAAGCAGCCAAAGCCTATTTGCACAATACAATTCACCCCAGATCACTTAGTTGACCTAAAATGAATTAAGTCTTTACTGCCAGTCCTGAAATTAGCACACAGGACGTGCACACATTTCACAGATTCAAATGAAAGGCTAACATATACAATCTGAATAGCAGGCCAGAAAGCAACAGGAATGTTGCTAGCCTATCTCCCAATGAATTTTTTGGCTTCATTTCTTGGAGAGGGTAGAGATTCACTGGCATTATACAGAGGTGAGAGGTTAGTTTCTCTCAGTGTCTTGGCCAACAAGCCTCAAGATAAAATTGGTCATTCAATTCATGGCTGTTCGTGGACATTACTGTGCACATACTGGCTGCCACATTCACCTGCAAAATACACATTCACTGCATTTTACAGTAAATCTTGTGAAGTGTTTGGAGTCATTCTCCCAATATGAAAGCCGCTATATCAAATGCAAGAATTATTATTAGTCGCAGCTATTTGGAGAGCCTTGGAAAGTTGGGACTACTTTTACTGGAGCAGCGAAGGATACACCACCAACAACAAAATTACATTGATAGAGGGCCTTTCATGTCAGGAGGATGGTAGGGCGGGTCGGGCGGGAGATGTGAAGCAGACCGGAGCCCGCTGAACGAAGGGAGTGGGCAAGTTGGTAGGATGTCAACAGGTCAGAGAGGTAGGAAGGGGTAAGGCCATGGATAGCCTTGAACGTGAGAACGAGGATCTTGAATTCAATCCTCTGAGGGATGGGGAGCCAGTGGAGTCGGGCGAGGGTGGGAGTGATGCAGTCACGGAGCCTGGTGCGCGAGAGTACACAAGCTGCAGAGTTTTGGATGATCTACAGCTTGTGAAGGGAAGAGTTGGGAAGGCCGATGAAGAAGGAGTTTCCATAATCGATTCCATAATGATTCCATAATCGGATAGTTTTGATAGGGCAAATGGTGACTATGTCCACTGATTGGTAAATGAGGAACAAAATGGTGTGTAAAGTATAACTGTATAATTGAGGGAAAATGGGGTGAATAGAAGATTTTCTTTTACAGAGAGGGATAAAGTATTGCTAGAATGTGAACTGCTTACACAAATGGCTTTTGAAGCCGAATCTATAGCAGTGTTAACATGACAATTGAAAAATGTTATTAACGAATATAACAAAAGCAGGAAAATGGGGTGCAATTGGAATAGAAAGCTCTCAACCACCACAGACACAATGGGTTGAATGGCCTCCTTTTGTGCTGTAAATACTCTGTGATCCTATTACAATCTTTATCACCACATGGCAGCTTGTTTATTTAAAATGCCTTTCTCCACAACTGGTCAGAATCCAGTTTTTGTATTTTCACAGTAACAGAGGAGGGGCAATGGTTTCATAAACCACAGAATGGTTCCGACATCTAACTAGCATTCACTTAACTTCTAGGATGACCATTCCTCGCTTAACCTCTCTTCTCCTAAACACAGTGAGAGAGACATACAACAGTGCTCTCTTATAAGTGAGCCCAGACTCTTTGTACAAGTGACCATATTCATACAACAAAATTCCATTTGTATAGTGCCTTTCACATCGGGAGGACATCCCAAGGCGCTGGTGTTTCAGACCAGAGCCCACTGAGTGGAGGGAGCGGGCAGGTTGGTAGGGGGAGTTAGAAAGTCACAGAGGTAGAGGAAACAGGGCCATGGAGGGCTTTAAAGGTGAGAACCAGGATCTTGAATTGTATGATGGGAAGCCAGTGGAGTCGAGCGAGGATGGGGCTGATAGGGTCACGGAGCCTGGTGTGGTAGAGGAAATGGACTGCATGATTTGCAGTTTATGGATGGAGGAGTTGGGGCGGCTGACAAGCAGGGAGTTTGCGTAGTCAAGCCTGGATGTTACGAATGAGTGTATGAGGGTATTGGCAGCCTGCTGTGTGAGACAGTGGCGGAGCCGGGTGATGTTGCAGAGCTGGAGGTAGGCAGAGCGGGTCATGGCATAGATGTGGGATAGAAAGATAGTTGAAGGTCAAACAAGACGCCAAGGTTCCGGACTGGCTCAATGAGGTGGAGTATGCATCCATGGACAGCGATGCTTTCAGTGTCTAAGGTGTGGACGGGCACTGATGGGAGCCACTCAGGAGGGCCTTGGTCTTGTTGATGTTCAACTGTAGAAAGTTAGCTGCTAGGATGACCATTCCTCACTTAACCTGTCTTCTCCTGAACACAATGAGAGAGACATACAATAGTCCTCTCTTATATATGAGCCCAGACTCATATACAAGTGACTATATTCATATGTGCCTAAGAGTGAGTCCTGGTGAGTAATATGGCTGAAGCCTAAACTACAGCTGAACCTATAAATTTGCTTTATGTACAACTTTCCATGGGAGCTACTGGACAACAACCTGCAGTGGAAACACTGGCCAATTTAATTTCATTTCCTTGGTCCAGAAGTGCTAACATGAAATATCTGAAGCCAGTGAAACTTCAGATAATATGGATAGATGTGAAACTAAAGTTGGAATGTTCTTGCTCTAGAATTGTTATTGTCAGTCACTGAAGGGATCGGATAGTGCTTTATTACAAAAGTTCTTTGCACAAATTCAACAATAGCAATTAGCAAAAATTCTGAATCATGCTGTTTGAACACACATCCGGAGGAGTCCTGTCTTGCTGAACATTTCACTCCTATTATGAGGGAAAGAGTGGCACTGAAAAAGTGGTGGGTGTAGTGTTATGACTCATCATTGAAATGTAAGAGTTAGTTCATCAGAAGTGGGTGGATATTCCCATCCCTACTCCTCTATTCTACCCCTTTATGATTCTCAGCTAATAGGGAAATAGTCTGCTGCCAAAGTCAATGTGCTATTTCACCTAAAGATCCCCCCTCAACCTGTGTAAACCAATCACAGTGAAAGTAACTAGAGCCTTAAAATAAATGCCTTCAAATCATATCTTGTGTTTATTCTGACTGCATTGATGTACCAACATATTTTATGCAACAAGGAACAACTAACAAAAACCCAGAGCAGAATATAAATGAAGAAAAATCAAAGAAAACAACAAGGAATATGGAACTGTAAACTATTCAGAAACTCAAAAAAAAGTTCTTGCAAATTAATAGGATAAAAACATAAAGAGGTGATGAGACAGAAATTGAAGGAGACTTTTAGGAAGCTGGATAATTAGCTTGATGGATCAATGGTCTGTTCCTGCTAAAACTTACTATGAAATATGTCAACCTGGCTCAGTTGGTAGCACTTTCACTTCTGAGACAAAAAGATGTGGGTTCAAGCTCCACGTCGGAACTTGAACTCACATAGTCAATGCGGACACGCCAATATAGTGCTCAGGGTGTGTCGGTTTATTGGAAATGCTATCCTTCAGATTGGAGGTTAAACTAAGGATCTGTCTACCAATTCAGGTGGATGTTAAACAGCCCTGGCCAAAATCCCCTAAATTAAAATTCATCATTCGTTTTATGACTGTTTGTGGGACACAGATGTGTGGACTTCGGCTGCCGCATTCACCTACAAATACACAGTAACTACACTTCACATTAAATCCTTTGAAGCATTTTGGGATGTCCTCTTGACATGAAAAGTACTATACCAAATGCAAGGATTATTGCTATTATTATTTATGAATAAAACAGGTAATTATTTTTGTCAAACATTTCTTCTTTGATTGTTCAGATTGTCAGCACCAAACATGCCCAGCTTGAGGACAGCACAGCCAGATAAATAATGAAGTTCCCTCTCGTCTGTTCCAACAATGTATCTCAGCCTAGCATCAGCCACCACTCAACCACTGTTATAGGTAATAGCAATTCGGTGCTGAATTTTGTGAAGTTTCATGCTGTGGAGTTGAACACCTTTCAGGTAGGACAGCAGAGAGAGGAGACATCCCAACATCCCATAAGCTGGATACAAAACCAGATCACACATGAGAACCCGAACTCCAGGAACGAAAAAACATTGAATTAGAAAAGCTGGATGATTCAGAAAGTAGCGGTGTAAATGTTAGCAGAAGATTATTTGAGAAAACAAATATAGGTGCGAAAATTTTCATTGTTGTACTCCACTGCCAGCGGGCTGGCATTTACCATTCAAGATCACAAAATTGGTTCTAACGATGAAGGTCCTTTGGCCCATTTGATCTTATTCTTACAGAACACACAGCCTGCCAGCTTCCCAACACAACATCAAGCTGTTTTGTAAATGAGTACAGCATCCTGGCCTCAACCACCCTTCCTCTTTACCAGACCTTTAGTCATCTTCCCTACCCCACACCCACTCCTCATGCCACCCTCCCCCCACCTCTAATCCAACCTCCAGCTCAGATACAAACTCTGGACTGCTGTCCAGCATCTTGGGATGTCTTCCCAACCTGAAAGGCACTATATAAATGCAATTTTTCTTGTTGTTATTATTACAATAGCTGGGCTTTTCATAACACACAATTTCTGTATGTTCACCTTGATAGAGAACATTTCTTGTGCAGCATTTAACACAATTCCATTGTAGTAAACAAGTTACTTACATGATCCATCAGTTCCCTGACCATTCCGTTCCACTGTCCTTTTTCATCCTGAGCTCCATATTTTCCGTCATCCACCAGCCTGACCTCATAGGTAAATCCAAGGATATTGGACAGTTCTTTCAGGAGGTCAATGCAATATCCTTCAAATCGACCATTCCCATAAAGAGGTTTATCAGACTTTTTAAACATCACATAAGGCTCTTCCTGTAAAGGTTGATAACATTGAGAGATTAATGCAAGGAATTAAAATATCCCTAATGACAAATACATCTCAGAGTTAAAGTCAGTCCAAACTGCCCTCTACTAATCAACTACGGACTCAAGGCAGTGCACATAAATTTCAAAAGCTTATTTAAGTAATCCCTGAAGTCAAGCATTCTCTGCACTGGGAATTCTAAAAACGAAACTATTAGCCATAAAAAAGATCAGAGCAAATGAAATAAAACATTTACATTTTCATCATCGGTTCTGGCACTTAAAACTGCCAAACTGCAAAAACATTTAGAAAAGAAGCACCTGATCTATGAAGCTTACGAATAAGAATCAGTGTAAGTTATCTCTTGGGTGTAATTAGCTACTGGCAGTTTTCTTTAACAGGGTCCAAATAGACTTGTGCAGCTCACCATGCCTCGGTAAACAGAAAACCCACACAAAAGGACAATGAACCAAATATGTATCTAAATAGAAAATTAATGGACCAGATGGTCTCTTGTGGTGGAAATATCTAAATAAAAGTAAATACACCACAAGTTGTTTTGCATTTTGTTTTTTCAACTAATATTCAGCCTCCTCACTTCCACCCCTTGACAAATCGTATTTGCAAAAGATGTAACTTTTTCGTCCCACATTAAATATTTTGTTTCTCCCTTGCTTGCAACTCCCAGTGTACACCTGCATAGTTTGCCAAGCAAGAGGATGGGCAGAGAGCCTAATTTCTGGCCTGCATTCGTTGAGTTAGAACATGCAGAAGGCAGACACAGGGCAAGTCACCCTATTGATTCCTCATTTTACAAATTCCCTTACAAAATACACAGTCACTACACTTTACAATAAGTCATCTGCAGCACTTTCAGATGAGGATTATTATTATCCTTTATGTGGCAAAGTGATAAGCCTCCATCACCTTGATGGTGCAACCAAGATTGGAATGTCACCCAAACCCCCATTTTACCATCAAACAAACCATTATTTCATCATATGCTAATGACTGGATAGTGTGGGAGCACAACCCTGTACTATGCGTGTTAACTTTATCCTATTTTAGCATCTGAGTAAGGGCATCACCAATCTACTGTTTTATTAATCCGGTTTTGTAATAGTGCTACCTCTTTCTTTTGACAACCGGGTTTCTGACCTCTGCGGAAATCTATCACCAGCTAAAAGAGTATCCAAATCAAACTGATGAGAGTTCCACACATACGTGGAAATTTTCATTCGCCTGATCTGTGGTAATAATAATAATCCTTGCATTTGATACAACTGCTTATCACATCTTCAAGATGTCTCAAAATGCTTCATACGAATATACTATAAGGTGAATTGACTGTATATTTTCTGGGAGAAATGTGGCAGCAAATTAACACACTGTCTCTCCAGAGGGATGTACTCTGATTACTAGAGAGTTCAGGTATAGGTTGACAAGAACCAAGGCTTGGGGACCAAGAGTTTAACCAGGTGAAACCATGCAGCTTGCACAAAAGTTGAACATCTAATTTGAATATTTAAAGGAGCAAGCAACAAACTACAGTGTAAGCTTGGGATGAAAACTGTTTGAGTTCCTTGCTATGCTTCTCCTTTGACGATTAAACAGATATTCAAACTGAAACCTATATTTTGCTCTGAGCCAGGGGAAATGGTCTTTTAATTATCTCCCCTATTCAAATGTCAGAAACAAAAGTTCATTGACATGAAAATAAATTATGTTTCACATTGGTTCTTAATTGAGAGAAAATGCTAATATAATCAAGACCTCTTAATTTCTGCCGAATTTCCACTCATCATATCAATGATTACGTTGAATAGTAACTATTTCCTTAACATACTCTTGGAACAGTGGAGTCTAAAATGCGGTATGGGTTAATAGCCCATGGGCTAACCATATTCAAATGCATATTGCTGTCCTTAATTATAATAATGCAACAATAATCCTTGCAGTTGGGTTCAGTGCCTTATCACATTGTTGAGATGTCTTAAAGACTTTCACAGGATTTACTGTAAAGTATAGTGACTGTTGCTGTACATGTTAAATTGTAATTATAACAACAACTTGCATTTATACAGCATCCTTCACGCAGGTTAGCATCCTGGAGAACTTGATAGTGACAGAGTCTGACACTGAGCCAAGGGTAGAGGGAGGGGGAGGTTACCATAAGCAAGATGGAGTGGAGTGGAGTTTTGAATTGAATTTTGTGGTTGGTGGAACTGGGGAGATCAGCAAGAAGGGCATTGGAATAATCCAGCCAGGAAGTGACAAAGGAATGGACGAGGGTTTCAGCTGCGTGGTTGTGAAGTATGACAATGTGATGAAGGTGGAAAAAGCAGTCCAGGTCAAGGAAAGGATGTGGGGTAGAAACCAAAGCTGAGGATTGAACCTGAGGCCTAAGTTGTGCACTGGTTTGGTTAATTATGCAGTTAACCAATAAAAACAAATCTGTATTGTAAACTCTCATTGGCAATTAATGGACCATTTTCCCAACCCCATCACATCAAAAAAACAAATCTGTACATGGAAATTGATTTTTTTTAAAAATTGTTACCAACTGGCCAAGACTAAAAACAGCTGTAGCTTTAGTTAAATGGCCCAAATAACTAATTTAATTTCATTTCCCAACACTCTTTTCTAAATCAAAGTGATTGATGAAAGAACAAATCTTCACTGAGCGGGAGCCATAAAACTAATGGTGTTAGTTTGCAAAGCTCAAAGCTCGTCCTATTACACAAGCCTTTCAGAACATGCTGCTGATCTTTGGTATGGGTTTTAGCACTTTGCATTGCTGGTTGTCAGACCAGGCGCATCTTTAAATACAATCACTTCTTTTCAATTTAGACTTTGTGGACTCAAGGGCCCATCCATGAAATGCCTGTGACAGTAATGGCATTGAAAAAGTGTACATAAGGGTATGGCAAGGGGAGGAGAGAATACATTTTGTATTCAAAGAGCAGTGGATCCTCACATACACTTGGCTCTGCTGTTCCCATCACCCAGAGGGAATGAAGCCTACAGTTATTTTATATTTTTAACAAGTGCTTGAATAGAGACAGAGAGGAATGTGCTTTAATAATAACTGGTAGAAAATTGACAAGTTGGAATGAGGTGCTGTGAGGCTCTGGCAATCTTGAGAAAGAAATAAAGGCTGTTCATGTAAAGTATTTTCAGTCCATATACTCAAAGAGTTAAAGTCGACAAGACTACCAGATGAGCTTTAAAAATGTAATATGGATATCTTGTTGGAACCTCAGCTGAAGCCTCACTTAAAACATACAGGTCCAGCATCTGTCAATTTAATTCTATTTTTTTTTAATTTTCTGACCTCTGCCAAAATATTCAATTATCGCTATTTATCTTAGAATAAAATTGACCTAACTTTTTATAATGTTATTACAATTCTGATTGATGTGAAATGAATTACAAAATTGCAGTAATTGAGACTGATGTTGAAATGTTGGAAGTATTGACAATTGGGGAATGAGTAAAAAAAAACAAATTTGTGGTATATATGTTTCAGGTTGGTTCCTCAAGACATTTCTAGTGTTTACTCTGATTGGGAAGATTTCAGAAGACTTAATAGTCAACGCTTTACACAAATTGCTTCAATTGTGTACAGTTGGGTGGGTATCTTGTAGAGTAGGTATTTTGTATAGTAGAGTGGGCATGGTGTATGGCAGGATGGGTGTTAGTGTACAGTAGGGTGAATACTATGTAGACAAGTGTGGGTATCGTGTATGGTATGGTAGGGTGTTCTTTATGCATGAAAGGTTGGTATGCTGGAACAATGAGATCAAGTGTGCCGAAGAGCCTTCTTCATCCAAACCAATCTTGTGATCTTCAGTTTACTTAAATTGATTGTGTTCATCAATCACCCTCTAACCAATACCATCAAGTCAAATGAGTCAGTCTAATGAAGCCACTGAAGACAGAGAGCAGAAATGGAATTTTAAGAGTGCTATTTGTAGTGTGCTATATATTAAGAATATATGCCTCGACAATTGGCTTTTAGACTTCATTCTTTGCTGTCCTCTTCTGAAATGCCTGCTTTATTATTATTATTTATTATTATTTATTATTATTATTATTTATACTTTATTACTATGACACTGCTTCACAAAAATTAAACTAACAAAACATAGTGATGTTTTCGAAAAGAGCTACACTTACTTTAAACAATGTTATAACTGTAATTGCTATTGAAACATTAAAGTACCCACACAATACTGTTAAATAGCAAAAGTAAATAAAAGAACCTGTGAGTATGGCAATGGCATAAACTATAAATTATTTGTTCAGCACGAGCAGATACAGTTCTGCCTCCATCAAAAAGACCAATAGTTATTTTAAAATAGAAAAAAATAGAAGCCAATTTGGTTAAAAAAAGGCTAACGTTCACTTCTATGGAATGAATGAAAGTATGCATCAGAGAAGCAAGAAATATAAATGTGTGACTTTACCCAATTCATCTACCTAGTTACATATTAATAATAATAATAATAATATTTGTTGCATTTGATATAGCGCCTTATCATGTCTTCGAGATGTGTCAAATGCTTCACAGAATATACTGTAAAATGAATTGACTGTGTGTTTTGTGGGCAAAATGCGGTAGCCAATTGCCCACAACAGTATCCCACAAAACAGCCGTGGTCTGAGTGACCAAATTATTATTTTTTATTATTATATCAACAACTGGTATTTATATAGCGCCCTTCATGCAGGGTGGTATCTTGGCAAGGTTAACAGAGGCAGAACTTGATGCCAAGCCAGGGAGAGAAGGGAAGTGACCGTAGCCATGGTCATAGAGAAAGGTCTTCAGGTCTGATCTGCAGATGAGCAAGGAAGAGGCAAGACAGAGCGATTGAGGCAGAGAGTTCCAGAGTCTCAGGGAGTAGTGACCAAAGCAGAGGTAAGCAATTTTTGAGGTTTCTCATTCACAATCCCTCTGATACATGTTAGAAGCATTAAAACATTGCGCCCACAAAATATAGTCAGT